TTTGTAAAATATAGATAGTAGAGTATATAAAAGATAATAATAAATAAAATAATATAATAATAATAATAAGTTATAAAAAAAAATAACGATTGACAAACAACTCTTTCCAACGATCATGTGGACTAACTTTTTAAAACAAAAATTTTTAACAAAAACAGTAAAACTATGCTAGAAAAGAAGACTATAAGACTGAAAAGAACCATAAACTGGCATCTATTATTTAGTGATAGTTCTCATACACTATCTGCTAATAGGTTTAGAGCTTATAACTCACCGTGGAGACAGCACTTGTTATTTAGAAGTAGTTCTCATACGATACTTGCTAACAAGTTCAGAGTTTATAACTTACTAAAAAGAATATCAGCAGTGCGCTTGGATCTACTCGTTTTATTATTCTTGATGAAAAATATACTCTCTTTCAAGAAAACTACAAGGTCTATACTCTTTACTATCACCCACTTGTACTTATAACAAAATTTTTGAAAAAAGTAAGCAAAACAGCTTACTCCTGTCAAAAGATCGGTATTGTTTACTCCTTCCAAATTCGATCGACTAATAGATTGCAACTGCATGTTTTGTTTAATAACAAACACATCACTACTCCACGTGACAAAGTCTGTCAACTAGTCTACAGTTAAAGATATACCCGGAATTGGTCATATAGTTAGAAAGAAACTAATACGTTAAGGCAAAGTCTTACAGCAGGGATATACAGATGTTGCATTTGTTATATAATTTTTAAAGCCTTGTACAGGTTACAATAATAACTATTAGGACTTTTTTTTCTTTTGTTGTTTTTTCTTTTTCAAAATTTGTGCTTTATTTTTTCTTTTAGCTCGTTCATTTTCTTTTTTGGTCATTTTTGTTAAAAAATTTTTTTTTATTTTCCCTTTTTGTCTCGTACCTCTTGAGAAGAAGGAAAAATTAGAAGGAAAATTAGTCCTAATATTTTAATTCTTTAAGAGCTAATATTGGATACAAAAAGGTGAAAACTCCTTTTGAACAAAGTTTATAAAAAGAACTTTTTTTTAGCTTATCCATAAGCTTTTGCGATAAGTTGCGCTTGTGTACTGAAATAGGCAACTGAGTGAAGTTGGGCTTTAGATTAATCTTAAAAGTAAATGTATATAAATTGTATATAAATTGTATATACTAATAGCTAAAGAGATCAAGCCACGGCAAGACTTATCAAAAAAATAAAAATAAAAAAAAAAAATAATAATAATAATAATAAAAATTAATAAAAATTATAAATTTTATATAATTATTATTATAGAATCAAAAACTAATACGAATTTTATTTTAAAAAAACTAATTAAGCTATATAATTAAATATAGTATATTATAATATAAAATTATTAAAAAACTACTTTTTTTCAAAATTGTAATTATGAATCAATCTAGCAAAAAAATTTTTTATAAAATTTTGATATAATCCAATTCTTCAAATCCACTACCACTTTTTAATAAAACCCTTACTATATTTAAACCTTACAATTTTCTTATATTTATTCACAATATAATCTTTTTGACCCCCTACCTTAACAACATAAGTTATTGATTCTATATTTTAACAACGCTTTTGCAATTTTCGGATAATAGCTCAGAGTAAACTGTGACATTACTATCCAGAAATGAGAAAAAAAAATTGATTCAATACGATCGTATATTACTTCCGATTTTTATTATTTTCAGATAAAGTTTTGGATGAGTGACATGATCTGCAAGACTGGTATTACATTGATATGTATATAAATGTACTATGAAACACTTTAATAAATATTTCTTCCTGTCTAATAAATAAATAAAAATGAATTCGTTTTGATATTTTAGTTGTATTTAACGTTGATGATTATAAAATAATCTGATTAAAAAAAAAACTTTAAAGTGGTATCATTTGTGAGTCAATCAGAGTTGTGTTCTGATTTACAATAAAATAAAATTCATTACCATTTTATCAACTGAAAAATGCATATCGAAATATAATTTAATCTTAAAAAATGTTATATAAGTTATAGTATAGTTTAAAAAGAAATTTGATATAAAAGCGGTAAAGTTATATAGGCAAATTGCCTTGTTTAATTGTCAATTACTTATTAATTGTTTGTAAATAAGTTCAGGTAAGACCATTTCTGCTTAATAAAATCATATTTTAACCTCTTACTATATCTAACTATAATTTGACATCATTTTTTTGGAGTCACAACTCCAACCAAACAGCTAATATCATCTTTTTTTCCACCTTGATGATATAAACCTTCACACAATGCCCTGCTTTGGAATGGACTTGTAGTATGGAGGTCTTCACTTACAGTTTTAGCACGCCAAACGAGTGCATCACTAATTATTTGAGGTTCAACCTGCAAACCCCGTTTTGGACAACTAAATGGGATAATTTCATCTAATATATCTTCATCAAACAAATTATCAAAGATACCATCAGAACCCATAACTACAATGTCGCCACATTGAATTTTAACCGTAAATGTTTGTGAATCTTTAGGAGTATCATTAGAAGCACTACCCAATTGGTATGGGTAATTAAATGAATGTTGTTGTTCCTCATTTCTAAAAATGAAACTGTTATGACGAATAATACAAATACCACAATCCCCAAGATTTGCAATCCGAAGCTCATCATTTCGTAAAATCGCGATTAAAGCTGTTGAAGAACCAATTATGCTCTTTACATTTTACATATCCGTAAGAGAAATTACGTAGAAAAAAAAATTAGATATATTCTAAAAAAGTAAACAAATAAAAAAGATCAAGTAAATATTTACCTCCAAGGTGCAATCGCGCATACTTTGTTCATAGCTTGCTTGCAAAATATCTACGGGATTCACATCATCAATGTTATCATATTTTTCAAGCTCCGCATACGCATAGTGCATCAATTTTCGAGAATAAAGAGCAGAATTAGCAACTAGAAAAAAAGTTTTTTTTCAAAGAACATTAGAAAGATGAAAATTATTAAAAAGATTATAATCAGGAATAAAAACATAAATTACCAGCACTAGGGGATGGTGCAACGTTACGCCAGCCGCCAACACCATCAGCTACGCCTAAAGAATCATGACGCCTGAAGAAACTATCTTCGCCACAATCAATACTATACCATTCTCCATCACATACAGTCGAAATAGTTTTATCAGTATGTTTTGGTATACCAGAAGCACCATGATTAAATATGAAAATTTCTTTTCGTGTTGTCGTAGTTGGAAAAGGATTAGGAAGATTTAATAATGGATGTGAGGAGAGATTATCATTAGCTTCTTGATATCCAATATGTTCAGATGAATGATATTTAAGTGTTCTTTTTGAAGAATTAAAATTTGAAGCACTATACGAGTGAAAAGAACGATGGAGGATTTGAGGAAATAGAAAAAAGGGTGAATTATTTGTTTTTGTAATCAACGCATCGTGATTAGATAAATTAGTCGATATAATGGAAGAAGAATCGAAAAATAAGAGAGAATTTATGCGGGGCAATGTAGAACGAGGAAACTTTGAAAAATTAAAAAAGGTGGAAACTAAAGAACACGAAGGAGTTTTAGACTTAATCAAAGCATTTATTTCCCTTGGACGAAACGTTGGACATAAATTACGTGGGAAGGGTAGAGTGGAAAATTTCACCGATTTCTTCATTAATTGTATTTTTTTATCGATGAAATTTAACCTCAGTTTCCTAGGGACAGCAAAAATATATGGACGTTAATAATGGTAATGTAATGCTGTATGTACGTACAGTGATTTAGGTGAGCATATCATGTGATTCTTCCCTCAATTGTCATTTGACAGATACATTATAATAATGATGTTACTACGTAGTCAAGAAAATACGTAAAGAAATTTACCTTTAACATGCGAATAATATGTGAAAGTTTCTTATATTGATCCAAATACTCGCGGATTATTTAATCGAATTAACCGTAAAGTCAGATTTAAATGATTAATTATTGAATCGAAATCTTTAACGGAAGGCCATCAAATCAAATAACAATAAATACGAGAAGCTGGATCAATAGTTCGTACGTAACATGATGAGATATCTTACGATACTTTTTGACCTAGAAAACGCCTTTGAATTTGAGTAACTAGGAACGTAACAGATAAGAAGGTTACAGATTACACAAAGTGATTTTTATGTCATAGTATTAAGTCAATATTGAGTTTGGAAGGATTAGCAAAATTGTGTTCCACGCTTATCAAAAGATAGATAAGATAATATCCAAGATAGAATACGTTCAGCCGTTCTTTTCATAAATTTAGTTTGAAATTCATATAGCCTTGATTCGCCTTAAAATGACCAAAAAATTTGATACTAATCTCATAGTAATAAAATTTATTACGTAGATAATAGATTTAGTTTCACGAATATAGTTTAATCATAAGGGAGAGTCGGGTATTATGGTGCACTTAGAAGTTGCGCATATAAAAATTTTTAGAAAAAGTGCACTTTATTTATTTATAAAATAACATTCGGTTTACTATCGAATGACAAAAAAAGAAGTTGAATAAAAAAAAAACTGAAATTTAAATCTATTTAAAAACTGCTATGTTTTTATGTATTTCGTACGTACGTATACGTATACGTACGTACGTATTACTGCATTCTCCAAATATTGTCCGAATGAGGAAATACATAGTAAAATTAAAACATGTGAATAATACGTGAACCACAGTATTTGACCATTTATTTTGTAATTCAGTAATTAGAACCATGCGATTTTATAATTTGAATCGTCTCAATGAGACGAATCGAATGGTACTAATATAATTTGATTCTGAGTGCTGTTTAATGGGATATACTG